ACCTGTGACTTGTGACCTGTAACCTGTGATCTGTAACCTGTGACTTGTAACCTGTGACCTGTAACCTGTGACCTGTAACCTATGACCTATAACCTGTGACTTGTGACCTGTAACCTGTGACCTGTAACCTGTGACCTGTAACCTGTGACCTGTGACATGTAACCTGTGACCTGTAACCTGTGACTTGTGACCTGTGACCTGTAACCTGTGACCTGTGACCTGTAACCTGTGACCTGTAACCTGTAACCTGTGACCTGTAACCTGTGACCTGTAACCTGTGACCTGTAACCTGTGACTTGTGACCTGTGACCTGTAACCTGTGACCTGTAACCTGTAACCTGTGACCTGTAACCTGTGACCTGTAACCTGTGACCTGTAACCTGTAACTTGTAACCTATGACCTTTAACCTGTGACCTGTGATCTGTGACCTGTGACCTGTGACTTGTGACCTGTGACCTGTAACATTTTACCTGTGACCTGTAACCTGTAACCTGTGACCTGTAACCTGTGACCTGTGACCTGTGACTTGTGACCTGTAACCTGTAACCTGTAACCTGTGACCTGTAACCTGTGACCTGTAACCTGTGACCTGTGACTTGTGACCTGTAACCTGTGACCTGTAACCTGTAACCTGTGACTTGTGACCTGTGACCTGTAACCTGTAACCTGTGACCTGTAACCTGTGACCTGTGACCTGTAACCTGTGACTTGTGACCTGTAACCTGTGACCTGTAACCTGTGACCTGTGACCTGTGACCTGTAACCTGTGACCTGTAACCCTTGACCTGTAACCTGTGACTTGTGACCTGTAACCTGTGACCTGTGACCTGTGACCTGTAACCTGTGACCTGTGACCTGCAGTCATCACAGAACACTTGGTAAACTCTTGCAGGTTGTGAAGAAGAGATCCAGGTTCTGAAGAAGGCCTTAGTTCTCCTCAAAGAGCTGATCAGCTCAGTGGACCAGGAGGTTCTGGAGTTGGACCGAACCAGGAGGCTGCAAGAGATCCAGGCCCGTTTGGACCCTCGGGCTCAAGCGGAGGTCCAGGGAGGAGGAATATTCAAAGGAGGAGAACTGCTGAGGAGGAAACTTCTCCATGAAGGAAGCTTCCTCTGGAAGGTCCAGGGCTCCAGGATGAAAGGTAAGAGTTACTGTATCAGTTTCACCTGCTGTGATGTCACACCTGTGTGGGTGGAGCTGTGATGTCACACCTGTGTGGGTGGAGCTGTGATGTCACACCTGTGTGGGTGGAGCTGTGATGTCACATCTGTGTGGGTGGAGCTATGATGTCACACCTGTGTGGGTGGAGCTATAATGTCACACCTGTGTGGGTGGAGCTATGATGTCACACCTGTGTGGGTGGAGCTATAATGTCACACCTGTGTGGGTGGAGCTATGATGTCACACCTGTGTAAATGGAGCTATAATGTCACACCTGTGTGGGTGGAGCTATGATGTCACACCTGTGTAAA